AACAATAAATGATCGAAATCGACATCTTAGAATTGAATTATTAGATAAAAAAGAATATAATGCCATGATAAATAGTGGTAAAATATCTATTTTTGGACAGTTATATGATATAGATGAATTCTTACCATCACCGAAACTCCTAATATGCTCTAAATGTAATCAACGTGGTCATGTAAAAAATAATTTTAAAAGTTCAAGTTTTGATATATGTAGAGGATGTGGTGATGACCGGAGCAATAATGATAATCACAAAGAATGTAAAATCAACTGTCATCATTGTAAAGGAGACCATGTCTCCACGGGCTACAAGTGTCCATTTATACAAGAATATCGTCGTCGTTTAATTATTAAATTACGAAAACATCCTGATCTTTTACCACCTGATATTCAATTATTCATTCCATCTGAATATCGGGAACAAGCTGAAAGAATCAAAATAATTTTCAATAAATCGGCTACAAATGACCATTTCTATGGCACAAATGACCATTTTTGTGGCACAAATGACCATTTCCATGGCAGAAATGACCATTTCTATGGCACAAACGACCATTTTTATGGCGCAAATTACCATGTTTATGGCGCAAATCACCATGTTTATGGCGCAAATCACCATTTTTATGGCGTAAATCACCATTTTTATGGCACAAATGGCTATTTTCGTGGTAGAAATGAGCATTCTTGCGATACAAAGTGCTATAGTCGTGGTACAAGTGGCGTTGTCAAGGTACAAAATACCATAGTCGTGGTACCAGTGACCATTGTCATGGTAGAAAGTACCATTAGTCGCGGCAGACGTTGCTGTTGTCATGGTACAAGTAAGCATATTGATGGTAGAAATTACCAAAGTCATGGTACAAGTGACGATTGTGATGGTGCAAAGTATCATTTTCATGATACAGTTCACCGTTGTCATGGTACAAAGAACCATGGGTCGTGGTACAAATGATCATTTTTATGGTGCAAGTGACCGTTGTGATAGTACAAAGTAGCATAATCGTGGTAGAAGTGACTGTTGCTATAGTGCAAAGTATCGTGAGTCGTGGTAAAACTGACCATTTATTTTGGCATAATTGACCATTCTTGTGGCTCAACTCAGTTTCTACGGTGCAATCAACCATTTCTATGGCATAGTTGATCATTGTTATCTGCGGAATGAGAGTGTCTGTGTCATCACTAGCAAGATCTGTATTAGAAATGACCAGTGCTATGGGATAAATAACCATTGCTAGTCCTTAGAATCAACTAACTCATACGCTTTATCATATACATTGGTATCTTGAAATATTTTATGTCAACTGTTTGAATATATCTTTAGTATGTAATATACAATATTTTGCAAATGTCAATGATTTGCCCTAAACTCATCATTGAACAGAATTCATTTTTATTAAAAAACATAAGGACATCTATGTCATCATTCCGTCAGTCTAGGGCCCAGTGAATCGACTTTCAATGTCGGTGAACCTTACTTGTAAATATGAGAAAGATATTTTATCAAACAACGCAATTTTCTCTTTATATCTATGTTAATCATGATAAATGCACAAAATATCAGAAGAAAAGCTTTTACTTGAAAAAGTAATATGTTAGTCACATTGCAGTTGTATCCGTCTTGTATTGACTTATACGAATAAATATTGAAACGTTCATGTGATACTCTCGATTCCATTAACTATTTTGTTCGCTCAACTTTTTTATTAATCGATTCTTGTGATGTATTGATAATAATTATTTTACTTTGAGAGCAAAATACTTCAACTGTCTATGGAAGTTTTAATAGCAAAATAGAAATTTAATAAAAAAAAATGAACAACAGTCGTCATATCTAATAGAACACTTGATATATTTAATAAACTCTATGTTGAACATCATCAAATGCTTTCATGTATATGTTCAACAATAACAATACATTTTTTGAAATATCATCTTGTTCAACGTAAAAAAAATATTAATATGACTTACCATATCAAACAAATAAATCATTATTATCTTTCCGTCAACAATGTATAACAAATTGTTTAAATTTTGTTCATAATTCAAATGTAATTGCTGTGGTGAAAATGTATGTGAACATGATGGACAACGTTCTTAAGAAAATTTTAAATGTCTAAAATATTCCTAATGTCATTGTTCTGATTGTTATTGTGAAATAAGATTGAAATTAACTATGAATGGTTTTAATCTTTTATTGGATGCTATTCTTGGTTATTATACTTATCCAAATCGAAATATTTTCAATCAATTACATGCAATTTTGATAAGCTACAATTATCATTATACATAGATTAATTAGTAGTGTTATGCCTTATGTGGAATATTAAAATGTTAAATTCTTCTCTTTTTATTTATCTTTAAAATTTCATAATAAAATCATCTTTTTAAAAAATCTGATTTTTCATATAAAAATATGAGAATTAATCTTTAATTTTGAGGATGATTGTGTTTAGGTGACGTGAATTGTTCACCTTTATCATTCCAACAGATGATAAAGCAATAGAAGCAAGAGACGTAAATTTGGTTTGATTGTTATCAGTAGCTTCTGCCGAGAGATGATAACCATAAGTTGTTGTAGCCAATGTGGATAGGTGAAGTTGAAGTAGGGGGTGGGAAGTTACCGTTACAGTTCCCGGGTAACGGTAACGACGCAGTTATCAGTTACCTGGGAACTGGTAACTTTTCCGTTACCAGTTCCCGGGTAACTTTTTCCGTAGCAACCGTTACCGTTGGCGTTCCCTGGTAACAGTCCGGGAACGGTAACTTCCCACCCCTAAGTTGAAGACCATGTTCTAAAGCATTGACTTGGATTAATATTTTACGTTCATAAACTAGTATTTCATCATCTGTTTTTGGATCAGTTGTTGATATACGAAAGATACAAAATAATGGATATTCAAAATCCTTATTAATAAGTCTATCTCGTGAACGTTCTTCAATAGCAACAAATAATTTTGAATTATTCTTTGATGTTAATGTTACCATTATTATAAATAACTATTTTAATTTTTTGTCAAATCTACAAAAATAATAATTATTTTTTAGAGTAAAAGAGGGCTGGACCATTTCCTCCTTTCAAAGAGAAATTGTTCCACTTCAAGCAGAAATCGTTAAACCACAAAAACTCAGAGGGAAACGCTTTTAAACCACATATCACTTTCACTGTTTAAATAGCAGGTGAAATGCTTCATCCGTTTCTCTATTTATAAAGAGAAATGGATTTATTCAAAGAGAAATCGATTATTTTATATTGTCTCTTATATAGGATTTTCTAG